TGTGTGTGTGTGTGATTATGTGTGCGTGGTTGTGTGTGTGTATGTGTGTGTGTGTATATGTGTGTGTGTGTGTGTGTGTGTGTGTGTGTGTGTGTGTGTGTGTGTGTGTGTGTGTGTGTGTGTGTGTGCGTGCGTGTGCGTGTGTGAGTGTGTGGTTGTGTGTGCGTGTGTTTGTTTGTTTATGCGCGCGCGTGTGCATGCGTGAGCATATAATTACATATGTGAGCGTATGTACAAGTGAGCCCGAGAGGAAAGCAAGGCGTTTAAACTTTTCAGCTCAAACGAACAACACAAAAAGATGAAAGTTACCAAGAGAAAACAGATCGGCACCGGATTTCACACTACAGTTCTTTGACATCTGCGACGTTGCTGATCACTTCTCGAATGAGATCTAATAATTTTCTTCGTTTGTATTCAACTACGAATGCGCTCTCACGAAGTCCAGATACTGAATACACGAGGGGCTAGAAAATAAAGTAGCATTATAACTAGCAAATGTTCTCATGAATAGTTCATACACATCTAAATAAAATCCGTGCAGCTTTCATTTATATACCAATTTGTGTGTTTTTGTATTTACTAGGTCTTATTAGAGCAGACGGAATTGCCTCTGATGACATTTACTATGCCAATTTAAGTAGTTAACTTCATTATACTAAGAATCATTACACAATTCGGTGGTTAGTGAGCGATATTAATGACTTATTAGATTGGAAATATGCAACAATTACAGTCGAAATTGTTATTTGCAGATAGAGAGGGAACTGCTAGATTATAGTAGTGTGTTTGGTCCATTTCTATTGATTATATGTCTCCATTTTGCATAGGCTCGACATGGAACTACCTGGCTGTATCACTTTAGTTTTCCTCACCTGGAAAACAAAAAATAGATAATATCTGTACTTATCTACTTCCGTTTAAAAGGAGCATAGAGTAAGTACTTTGATCTGAAGTTTATATCGGACAGTAAATATTTTAACTTTCCCAGTGCTTGTTCTTTCGAAATACTGCCAGATTCTCTCCCAACACACCAGAGCTTGGGCTCCTAACACAAGGTTGCTGGCGCATTTGAATCTCCAGCCAACTTGGAGCATTTTCGTGAATTCTCGGGCTGAACTACTTGCTTTCATGGCAAGAGTGGTAATTTTGAATAATTTTTCTTCCTGTGGAATGATCGAGAGTGCTTGTTAGATACTCTGTGACCCTAAAATTCGCACGCGGTGGTATTGTTCGGAATTATGACGTCAAAATGTCGGACGATGCAACCCGGATTTTGTGTCGGATCACGCTTAGTACCTGTGTCGTGCTTCCTTCATGCCTGTCTGGACAAAAGATGGATGAGGATACGCTCTATTTTGTGCATGGTCCGCCATGTTTTAAAATAAGAATGCTTAATTTTTCAGTGCAATGCTATATATTTTCTTGTTTTTATTTTGCTCGCGTATCAGTAAGTCACCAGCGTGCCGAGCAGTCGCCGACCACGTGCACGGCTGTTAAACATTGTCAACAACCCTTAATTGCCATACCAGCCCGATAATATCAATACAGTCACCCTCTTGCCGACCTCTTTTACGCTCTCTGCCGCCTCTACGCGTCTCCGATCGCTGTCTGTGCTAGCTAGCCTATCCCGCCATTAACCACACCTGGCCCCCTAACCTTGTCCACTTCCATTTCTCTCATAAAGACTCTCGTTTTGGGTAAAAGAGATCTCTTAACGTAGGCCAAGCCTCCTCGTCTCGCCACTACGGGCTCAGAATTCGTGCGAAAGAATCGTCCAATGGTGGTGAAATAAAGTCGATCAGAGGTTATTGTACGCATTTTTTTCTTTCTCTTTTTTCCCTTCGTGTCGGATGTGCCCAGGTTCCTATCGTGAAAGACTTCTGACTCAGGATAGAGTTGGATGTTTGAGGGGGGGAAGAGAATGAGTGGAGGAAAGGGGGGGTAGGAAGGAAAGGAGGGTTTTAGGGTGGTGGTTCTCTCGCTGTGTGGTAAAGCTGGTATGAGGGAGAGTGACCCCGCGGCCTGTGGTACTGGGTCTCGTGGCGGTAAGGGTAGCGGGATGGCGGGGAGGTAGGTGGTAGTGGTGACGGCCTGTACTCGTGGGGTGAAAACTGCTGACTACGCCGCCAGTGCTTGTCAGGAGGAGGTTATATCTAAGTACCTGCTCTTTCTTTTTGCATAAATCCTTCGTGAGCGACTCTCCGACTTTGCTTTCGCGGATCTGTCGAGCAGAATCGCGAGCGAAGGAAGCTTGGGTGGCGAGGAGAGACCGCGGGAGTTCGGCCATGGATAGGTTTTTAGATATGATGATGGTTGTCGTGAGTGAGTGTCTGTGTGTGGTGTAGGCGGGTGGGGCGATGCAGATGCTTCACGCGCGCGACCCCGGCACACACATACACACACACACCGACACCGCAACACGTACACATGTATACACGCACGCCAGTACCGCCCGCTAGCCTACCTACATACGGGATTCTTAGACTTTTCTCTCTTGCATTCGTTCCGTCAATCGCCGCGTGGCTTGCTCGTCTGGTTCGTTACATTTCCTTTTACTTTATCATAACGCTATTATTTCCGTTCGTAGGAGAAAGGCAAATGTAGCGAAGCAGTTCAGCGACGTTTTGTCACAGGTGTTACGTACAAAGAGTGTTATGCCTTTTCTCACCTGGGGCTTCCTCGTAGCTGTTAATTAGGCATGTACGATTAGAAATAAGTCTTTATCGCCATTATGATATTAGTTTTGTTGAGCGAGGGTTCCCCGCACTAAGTAACTCGGCTTTTGGGGATATAAATGCACCTTAATAAGCCATACAAATGATCAAAATCATAACGATTGTCCTCTTGACCAAAATGTCAATCCTAACACCGAATATTAACAATCAATTACTTATACAAACAATCGTAACACACATGACACCACGAACTGTAATTCATAACACGCTTTAAAATATTAAATACACAACGAAATCCGGATCGAAAGACAACCCATATATCTTAGAGAAACAAAGTTAAAAGTAGAGTTAAATTCCGGAAAAAATAATGGTAGTGAATGGTGATTGGGGGGGGGGAGAGTGTAAGTGTATGTATGCATATCCCGAGCGAGAAAAAAATATAATAAATTAGAAAAAAAAGAAAACTCATATACCCCCCAAAAAAAGCCATACCACCCCCCCATACATATATCCCATCGAAGAAAAAAAAAAACAAAAAAAAAATAAATTAAAAAAAAAAAGTTAATGGTAGTGAATGGTGGGGGGGGTGTGTGTGTGTGCGCGGGAGCCCGTGCGTCCAGCAGGGTCGGCCCCGTAGCCATTAACCGGAGACAAGGCGCCATGTTGGTCGTGGGCGCGCCCGGGATTATCTCCTAATTTTTGCCACATGTACGGTTCTCGGCGGGCGTGGGGTGCTCCTCGAGGTGGATTCGGTGGAGGGGAAGGTCCGGTGGATGCGGTGGAGGACCAGTGAGAGGGCGGAGAAGGAGCCGAGGGCGTGAACATCGGGTCGAGCAGCGGGTTTGGGCGGTCCGAGGGGGCGCGGCGGTCGAGGCAAGAGAGTTTATACGTTGGTGTTTGTTGTGAAATAGAATCGATAGGGCTGTTGGTACGAATTCGGTCCTTGAGCGATTGACCCCCGAGTTGCGACCCCCGCGTGACTGGACCCCGGGCGTGTGGGGTGTCTAAGCACAGCTCGTGAGGAGAGGAGAGACGTGGTGAGCGAGAGAGAGGCGAGAAGTGGGCGGCGAGGGAGTAAAAAGGCGGCGAAGAGGGAGAGATGTGTGTGAGGAAAGACAGACAAACAAACACACCATTGCAAAGGACAAAGACAGTGGACTTCATATTATTTTTTTGTTACGTGGCGCCGAAAGTGTTCCGGAAGTGGAAGTGTTTTTTTTTTATTATTTTTATGAAACGATATTTTTTCCCCACATTTTAGCGCCGTGAAACTCTCTAAAATATGTGCGAGGTAAATGACATTTTAGTGACATTATGGTGATACAATTTTTCTAAAAAAAAAGTGCGGAAAGCCACGCGAAAGAAGAAAAAGAAGAGAAAATGTGATAGCGCGCCGGTCCCATTCCACGCCATTACGAAGTCTGTCATGATACTGTTAATGAGTTTGTTGTGTGTACAAGGTTTTCACCGGGCGTTTTGTATCGGAAAGTGAGATATATGCATAAATAAAAATCGAGAAATGCAGTGGAAGAGATGAGAGCGTGTGCAAGGAAGGAAGGAAAGTGGATGGAGGAGGAAGAGGAGAGAAAGAAAGAGAGAGAGAGGGAGAAGCCCCGAGTTTTGTCTTGAAAAGTGATTTCGGGTGACGCTTGCAGGAGGGGGGAGGGGGGAGAGGGGCCGGGGTAGGAGGAGGAGGGGGAGAGGGACCGGGGGAAGGAGGGGGAGGAAGAGGAGGGGGGGAAGGAGGGTTCTCCCGGTGTTGCTCACGGGGAGGTCAAAACATTTCCGCTTCCTCTTCGGTTTTGATATTTCGGCCTATGTGTACCTCCCTTTTCTCTTCCCGTCCCTTTTCCTCTTTATTTCTTTCACTTAGTCTTCCGTGCCGGGGGCGTCGGCCTCTCGCAGGAAGGAGGGAAGTGGACGATCGCCGAAAACGAAGAAGCAGAAGGCGAAAAAAAGCGAAGCGATAAGGCCGTGGAGAGGGCGAAGGGAGAGCGAAAGAAAAAGAAAAGCGGTGTTAGCCAGGAATAGGTAAATAGGTGTCGGCGAGTGGCTGTGGTGGGGAGGGAGAGAGGGAGAGAGGGAGAGAGAGTGAGAGGAGGAGAAGAGTGGGGAGGGAGGGAGGGGGGTGAGAGGAGGAAGGAAGGGAGGAGTAGGTAGGAGGTAGTGGGAGAGAGAGAGAGAGAGGGAGGGAGTAGTAGTTAGGGAAGGGGGGGATTGAGAGGAGGGAGGGAGGGAGGAGTAGGCTAGGGGGAGGGGGGAGTAGGAGGAGGAGCAGGAGGAGGAGGAGGAGGAGGAGGGGGGTTTAGATGCTCTGGTCAGTCAACCTCGCGCGCCTCAGCCCTCACTCACGCCGGGGAAGACGCTTGGTCCCTTTTCACACATGTCGTTTTCCTCCCGTGGGTTTAACAGTGTGTGCTTTTTGCGTTTCTGTTTCGGCGTTATAGTGCTTATGGTGTGTCCTCGTGGGGGGGAAGAGAAAGTGGGGGAATATGGGGAAGAAAAAGGGAGATAAAAGCGAGTGATTTTCTGTGATATATATTTTCTCCCAAACGGAAGAAAGAAAGAGGACGTGAATACACTGTGTGCGGATTTTCGGTTCGGCTTTTTTGTGTGTTGCGCCATATTATTCCTATTATTTTGATTTTCTGTGTATATATTTTCTCCCAAACGGAAGAAAGAAAGAGGACGTGAATACACTGTGTGCGGATTTTCGGTTCGGCTTTTTTGTGTGTTGCGCCATATTATTCCTATTTTTACGGTTTTCGGCAAGATTTTTGTTTTATTTTGTTTGTGTTTTCTTCGAATTACGTGATGCGTGTGCATTTTATGATAATTTTATTTTGTGGCATGTTCCAAAGTTTTAATTTGCTGGTTGATGTGCCACCATTTTGGAAGAATTTTTCATTTTTCGTCCCGAAATAGAAGAAGGGAGGAGTGAGAAAAAAGAAGCAAAATGAGAGAGAGGAAAAATAAAAATCAAGACAAGAAGACTACACCGGGAGTCTTTTTATTATTATTTTCTCTGGTGTGAGTGAGAGAAAGTTGGGAGGTAGTAGTGTTGGAATCAGATTGGTACAAGGGGTTGAGGGGAATGGGGGAGGGAGGAGGGTAGGGGGGGTGAGAGGCCATGACCTGCTCTATGGTAATACTTGAAGCGAGAAAGATATTTTGAGGGTTATATTTGTTATTTTTGGTGTGTAATTGTTTGCTTGGTAGGGTTTTTTTTAGGGAAGGTTGTGGTTATGGCTGGTTGTATTTGCATTTGGATTTTATTTATTTATTCTTATTTATTATTTCTTTGCTCATGGGGGAAGGGGGGGAAAGTTTCCATTCATGAGAAGTTTTCAAAGCTGGTTTTGTGAATTGTATAGTTTATTTTAGTGCTAGATCAGTACCTGGAACTTTTGTTCAGCCATCTGGGTGAAATATAGCATTTGGGTGTTTTGCAGTTAATACCTCTAAGCATGTTGATTTTATTTTTGATTCCTGCAGGTGCTTTAGTACAATGCAGTCTTTGCTGTTTAGAATTTATGTAAATCAACTCCTACAGACAGTATAGATGGGTTCTGTAAGTAAATTTTGACTGTTGCAGCAGTATTTAGATACAGGAAGTTGTTCTATGTTCAAGATGAGTCATTAGGGTATTGCAATATGTTGTATGTGCAATCCAGCTGTTGCCTGTGTTGAAGCCAGTGATGTGTATTGTTGTGTGTTATATTTGTTTGCACTGGTTTCCTTAGGCTTTCAAACTTGTGCTGAGTATCAGTGTTTATGAGATGGGAGCTTGGTTTGCAATAATATAATCGCGTAATGAAGGAAACGGAAACAGGATAGTTTGTATTTACTGTGAGTACAGATGTTTCACTGAAATTAATTTTTGCTTTAAATATAGGAAGACATGTTCAGATTTGTCTTAATGTTGAGATAAATAATTTACATTTTAGTATTAGCACCTAATAACTTTCTCTCCTTAACACTTTTAGAGATATAGGAATTACTCTAGAGTTTACTTTAAAAATATTTTTATGATTAGCATAGATGATTTTTGCCAGTCTTGGTTTTACATTTTTAGTTTCAGAGTTCGGAAAATAGATAATTTTTAGATATAATCTAATTTTAGAATTCTTGAAAAATATAAAGATTCAGTAAATTGTGTTCGTAAGAAAGTATATGCAACATATTAAGAGGTAGGATAGTTGTGAAGTATTTACAGGTTTATGATCTCTATTTCTTAGTATTCACTTTAATTTTATAATTAACAAAATTCTATTTCAGAATGATGTATATTATATATATGTCTGTTTTTTTTTTATTAAAGAATGCAACTTACTGTCTACTTATAGCAATGCATGGGAGATAATTTTAACGAGAGATAGTATATGATAATAGTACATCAAGAACCTAGCAAAACAGTATATCATTGCACGTTATTAACCATATTACGGTATTGAACAGATATTTAGAACAGATATTGTAGGTTGAGCACATATTGGGTTAATTTGTTATAGGATTATTGTTCATGATAGTAAAGATATAAAATCCGTAGCTAACTAGTTACCTATTTGCAGATAAATTTAATAATTGATTATGGATGTATGCAAACAGGTTTATGACCATATATTCAGAATGAAAAATAGCCATATGCTTAAACATAATTGTTCTCTTGTCCTTCATAATCCATGTTACTGGTTCAAAGAAGGTCCATATTTACCTTGCATTCCTCTCTCTCATTTTTTTTGTTTTTTTTTTTTCTCACATTTTTTGTAATTGCAAACGGGTTAACAAATGATATTCAGATTAATAGACTGGGTATTAAGTAATAAGAAAGATGCACAACTGGAGCTTAGGAATATGAAATAAAAATGCGTAACTGTAACTTCCTCTTGGCTTATGCAGAAGTGATTCGTGTTGTTAGAGAGTTCGGACAAGCAAAATGGCCTTCAAGTGAATATTCTTTAGTTGTGATTAACTGACGCCCTAGACTATCTACCCGCTGTCACAACTGTGATGTAAATGTGTTAGAAAAGAGTATTATGCTTTGAAGAACAGAAAATTTACATGTACATGCTTACAACTCCTAAGAAGAGTGGATGAAAATTCTTAATATCTGATTTCTCTCTTTGGCTTCATCAGGAATGAGAACTTGAATTGTTTAGTGCAAAACTCAAGTTGTCAACTATGGATCTCAGTGTCAGGTGAGGCATCTTGATTACTTGTTTCCATGTTTTGTATTTATATGTGTATCTTTGCATTGTCTGTTCCTTGTTTTACCATCTGTGTTTACCTCCGTTTGATGTTTAGATTTCTGTATAGATTTACTTAAATGTGTTGCATGTCATTATTGGTGGTATGACTTGGAACATTTGTATGAGTTGTAGTCTGTGTTTATAAGAAAATCAGTGAGCTGTAGAACAAGTCTCCATTTTTTATGTGATCTCTTTCTTCATTTCGTCTATTTGGTTCATAATTTTGTTTTCTTACATCGTCTGTTTCCTCATTGCTCTTTGTTTCCATCTCCTTTCTTGTTTCCATCTCTTCCCTCATTTGTTCTTTGTTCCTGAATTTTCTCTCTGCTTTATTGCTTTTATCTCTTTCCTCTTCCTCTTCATTTCTCTTGCTCTTCCTTTTCCACTTTCCTCCTCTGATCCTAACCTTGCTGCTTTCTCCTTACTCTTCTTCCCACACTGTTGCCTCTTCCTCTTCCTTCTCTTCTGTATCCCTTTTTCTTCCTTTTTACTCCTTTCCCCTACCCTGCTCTCGTCTTTTTTTCTCTCTCTTTCCTCTTTTTGTTCCTTCTTTTTCCTCCCCCCTTTTTTCCCTTTCCCCTGAGTTACTTCATTACTACTCCTTTCCCCTGGTTTGCTTCTTTACTCCTTCTTTCCCTTGCTCTTTCTTTCTTTCTCTCTTGACTTGTTTCTCCCCTGCCCTGCTTCCTATTTTTCTTTCTCCTTTCTGTGGCTGGCCTGCAGCATCATTACTTACCACTGCTCTATTTCCTCTTCCTCTTTACTCCTTTCTCCTCTTCCCTTCTCTTCTCTTCCTTTTCCTTTATTACCTCTAATTCCCCCTGCTCTGCTTCCTCTTCCTCTTCACTTGTTTCCCATACCCTGCTTCCTCTTGTTCTCCTATTTCCCCTGATCCTCTTCCCCTCCTTCGAAGCTCTTCTGTGTTCATTTACCCAACTGCTAGGCAACAGCCAGCAAGAGGGCTGATGGAGTAACCAGTCTTCGTATTTATTAATGAAGGAGTTATTTATTTTTTATTTTTTATTTTTTTTTAATTCTTCATCTATGTGCTGTGGTATTGTAGAAGAGATTATAGCGTGGAGTCTAGATGTTAGAAAGGAAGTGCATGTCATGGAGCATCTTGCGTATTGAAGTTGAAATAATTAGGAAGTACAGAAAATAATAGAATTAAGAAAGTTGCCAGCAGCTTGTGCTCTTGGTATTGAAAGGTTAGTGGGTATTTATATTTCAGGTAACGTTTCTTGTTTGAGTGTTGTGCAGATGTAGTTTTTACTTGAGTAGCATAGTCGTGTTTTATCTGTTGTGTTATTCTCTTTATTGATGTTATTTATGCTAGTACCGAGGAGTGAGTATATTGTATTGAAGAATGGAAAACCGGATCTGGTCAGCGCGAGTGTAGAGCAGATAAATTTATTCATTTTATGTGTAGCCAACATCCAATGAATTCTTTTCAGTTCACATCTTTTAATATAGAAGCGTAGTGGTGATATTTATGTCCCCTACCAGGCATTTTTTATTCATCCTCCTCCCCCCTCCTCTTTCCATTCCTGTCACCATCTTTATCCTGGCCTTGACCTTCACCTTTCTTCTGCTTCATTCCCATCCCTCTCTTTTTCCTCTCTCTGCATCATCATCCTTAACTGATTTTCCTCCCAAACCTTCCCCATCTCTTTTTATCTTGCTTCTTCAATGTTTTTCCTTCCACAGCTTTAGTGTGACCCTTTCCTATTCCTTTTAAGTCCTAAGTTTCTATTCATTACTTCCCCTTTGTCCTTCTTCATCGCTCTGTTATTCCTCAACCATTTCTCTCTCTCTTGATTTGTAAGCTCTTCCCCCCCCCCCCCCCAGTTTCTTCACTTTTTTCTTTTCTCTGCTTGCTCCTGCATTAGCTTCTTCATCTCTTAGCATTTATTTTTTCTTCACCATGTCATCATGTCCATCCCATCTATTTACTCATCTGTTTCTCTCCTTCCTTTTCTCTGTTTCTTCTCGTGTTGCCTCGTTTCCTCCCCCCCCCCCCCCTTCTCTTACCTCTGCCTCTTTCCTCCATCCCTCACCCCCACATTTTCTTCCTACCTTGTCCTTGTCATTTGTCTTTTCACATCTTTCTTTATGTAGAGGGGGAACTGCTTCTCTGCCTAAGTGCTTCCTGATATCAACTGCTACTCCATACCCTTCTCTCCTCCTCCACGTGTCATAACACTTTCTCCTGATCTTCTCCTCTTCCTGGCAGCATAGTTTTTTTTTTTTTTTATCCTTATCCTTATCCTTCTCATTGACAAGCTTTTCTTTTGTACTGCTTTCCTTCCTCCTTTTTGTCCAACACTTCAATCTGTAGGTTATAATTCTACTCCTGTATTCCCCTTTCAGCTTTATGCAAGTTTTTGTTCTCTTTTTCTAATTCCTCCTCCTCCATCTCCCACTGTCTCCTCCTCCTCCTCCTCCTCCTCCTCCCACTGTCTCCTCCTCTTCCTCTTCCTCCTCCCACCGTCTCCTCCTCCTCTTCCTCCTCCCACCGTCTCCTCCTCCTCCTCTTCCTCCTCCCACCGTCTCCTCCTCCTCCTCTTCCTCCTCCTCCTCTTCCTCCTCCCACCGTCTCCTCTTCCTCCTCCCACCGTCTCCTCCTCCTCTTCCTCCTCCTCTTCCTCCTCCCACCGTCTCCTCCTCCTCTTCCTCCTCCTCTTCCTCCTCCCACCGTCTCCTCCTCCTCCTCCCACTGTCTCCTCCTCTTCCTCCTCCCACCGTCTCCTCCTCCTCCTCCTCCTCCCACCGTCTCCTCCTCTTCCTCCTCCCACCGTCTCCTCCTCCTCCTCCTCCCACCGTCTCCTCCTCCTCTTCCTCCTCCTCACTTCTCATCCTACCGTCTCCTCCTCCTCCTCCTCCTCCTCCTCCTCCTCCTCCTCCTCCCACCGTCTCCTCCTCCTCCTCCTCCTCCTCCCACCGTCTCCTCCTCCTCCTCCTCCTCCTCCTCCCACCGTCTCCTCCTCCTCCTCCTCCTCCTCCCACCGTCTCCTCCTCCTCCTCCTCCCACCGTCTCCTCCTCCTCCTCCTCCTCCTCCCACTGTCTCCTCCTCTTCCTCTTCCTCCTCCCACCGTCTCCTCCTCCTCCTCCTCCTCCTCCACCGTCTCCTCCTCCTCCTCCTCCTCCTCCTCCTCCGTCCTCCTCCTCCTCCTCTTCCTCCTCCCACCGTCTCCTCCTCCTCCTCTTCCTCCTCCCACCGTCTCCTCCTCCTCCTCTTCCTCCTCCCACCGTCTCCTCCTCCTCCTCTTCCTCCTCCTCTTCCTCCTCCCACCGTCTCCTCCTCCTCCCACCGTCTCCTCCTCCCACCGTCTCCTCCTCCTCCCACCGTCTCCTCCTCCCACCGTCTCCTCCTCCCACCGTCTCCTCCTCCTCCTCTTCTCCTCCCACCGTCTCCTCTTCCTCCTCTTCCTCCTCCCACCGTCTCCTCTTCCTCCTCCCACCGTCTCCTCTTCCTCCTACCACGGTCTCCTCCTCCTCCTCCTCCTCCCACGGTCTCCTCCTCCTCCTCCTCCTCCTCCCACGGTCTCCTCCTCCTCCTCCTCCTCCCACGGTCTCCTCCTCCTCCCACCGTCTCCTCCTCCTCCCACCGTCTCCTCCTCCTCCCACCGTCTCCTCCTCCTCCCACCGTCTCCTCCTCCTCCCACCGTCTCCTCCTCCTCCTCCTCCCACCGTCTCCTCCTCCTCCCACTGTCTCCTCCTCCTCCCACCGTCTCCTCCTCCTCCTCCTCCTCCCACCGTCTCCTCCTCCTCCTCCTCCTCCCACCGTCTCCTCCTCCTCTTCCTCCTCCTCCTCCTCCTCCTCCTCCTCCTCCTCCTCCTCCTCCTCCTCCTCCCACCGTCTCCTCCTCCTCCTCTTCCTCCTCCCACCGTCTCCTCCTCCTCCTCTTCCTCCTCCTCCCACCGTCTCCTCCTCCTCCTCCCACCGTCTCCTCCTCCTCCTCCACCGTCTCCTCCTCCTCCTCCCACCGTCTCCTCCTCCTCCTCCTCCTCCCACCGTCTCCTCCTCCTCCTCCTCCCACCGTCTCCTCCTCCTCCTCCTCCCACCGTCTCCTCCTCCTCCTCCTCCCACCGTCTCCTCCTCCTCCTCCTCCTCCTCCTCCCACCGTCTCCTCCTCCTCCTCCTCCTCCTCCCACCGTCTCCTCCTCCTCCTCCTCCTCCCACCGTCTCCTCCTCCTCCTCCTCCTCCTCCCACCGTCTCCTCCTCCTCCTCCTCCTCCTCCCACCGTCTCCTCCTCCTCCTCCTCCTCCCACCATCTCCTCCTCCTCCTCCTCCTCCCACCGTCTCCTCCTCCTCCTCCTCCTCCCACCGTCTCCTCCTCCTCCTCCTCCTCCCACCGCCTCCTCCTCCTCCTCCTCCTGCCACTTCCTCCTCCTCCTCCTCCCACTTCCTCCTCCTCCTGCCACCTCCTCCTCCTCCTCCCGCTTCCTCCTCCTCCTCCTCCCGCTTCCTCCTCCTCCTCCTCCTCCTCCTCCTCCTCCTCCTCCTCCCACTTCTCCTCCCACTTCTCCTCCTCCTCCTCCTCCTGCCACTTCCTCCTCCTCCTCCTCCTCCTCCTCCTCCTCCTCCTCCTCCTCCTCCTCCTCCTGCCACTTCCTCCTCCTCCTGCCACTTCCTCCTCCTCCTGCCACTTCCTCCTCCTCCTGCCACTTCCTCCTCCTCCTCCTCCTCCTCCTCCTGCCACTTCCTCCTCCTCCTCCTCCTCCTGCCACTTCCTCCTCCTCCTTCTCCTCCTGCCACTTCCTCCTCCTCCTTCTCCTCCTGCCACTTCCTCCTCCTCCTCCTCCTCCTGCCACTTCCTCCTCCTCCTCCTCCTCCTCCTCCTCCTGCCACTTCCTCCTCCTCCTCCTCCTCCTGCCACTTCCTCCTCCTCCTCCTCCTCCTCTCACTCCTTGCCACCACCACTGTCATTATACCTTCACAAGTGC